CTCGCCTGGCCTGCGGACTCTGGAGCTTTGTGTGGCCCCGGCCTGGGCAGCCCAGGAGCCGAGGGCCTGCTGTGGACATCAGGGCGGGAGGCCCAGGGCAGGGCTCTAGCCTCGGCCTCTGGATCCTGGCTGCGCTGCTCCCCTGCTGTGAGATTCCAACTGATCCCTTGACCACCCTGAGCGCCACTTCCTCCCCTGGGAAATCACAGACGGTGCAGAGGGCAGTGACAGCGGGCGGGCTGCCTGAGCTGAATGGGGAGTTACCAGCAACGCTTTATCTGCACTCTGCCACCAGGCTGGCGCTCCCATGGGGCTCTGACCAGCCTCGAAGCAGTGTGTGAAGCAGCCACCACCTCTGCAGAAGACTCTCTGGGCACACACGGCCCACTGGAACACCCCGCCACGCGGCCATGTACCTAGGGACAGCTCGGGCGCCGGGGGGCAGGGGGGCTATGTCCTGCTGTGGGTCCTGCTCTCTTTTAGGCTCTTCCCCTTATGAACAGCTCCTCTGTCTCCCTGGGTTCAGGCGGAAGCCTCCGCACCCTTGCTGGCGCTCTCTGCCTCCAGCCCCAAGTCCCCGAGTCCCTTCTACCGCCTCCATTGCTCTTGCAGCTGCACCCGGCTGAGTCACTGCCATGTTTGCTAAGATGACCGCAGTGACCTTTGCACTGTCACTCCCATACTGTCATCATCTTGTTACTGGAAGGCAGTCAGAGCTCATCCCCCTTCTGCTCGGCACCCTCCGGAGGCTCCCCCTGATGGTGCCCACTGGTCCTGCCCCCACCAAACTGGTCACTGCCTCTGACAAGTCCACACGGGCCTGCTGTGGCCTCAGGACCTTTGCTCTCGCCGCTCCTTCTGCCAGAGGTGATCCTGTCTCTTAGCTCTCTCAAGGCTCTTGCCCCGTTTGAGGCCATGTCCAGAGGCCTCCTTTGAATTAACAAGCCCCTCCTCCTTACCACTCTTGTCCCCTGCCTTCTCTCCCCAAACCACTTGACGCGCAGGGCTTTTAACGTGTGAACACCACTCTTGTCACAAGTTTTGAGCCGCTGCTCCTCATGCCCTACCGCAGGGCTGTCCCGGTGTTCCCAGGTGTCCCCGGCACCATCCTCAGCACCCTGGCTGGTCAGCATGCAAGCAGAGTATGTGTTTGTCCAATGTCAGGGGTCAGCAAGGGCCAGGTGACTCCCCAGGTCACCAGATTAGGACATGGAGCACAGGGCTTTGGACCCAAGGCTGCATCCTTCACCTCCATGGGCTGGTTCCAGGACAGTGGCCCTCGACGACAGCTGCTGCTGTCACGGGGTTCAGGGCCATGCCCCTGGCTTCCCCCTCTCTTCACAGAAGAGATTTGGGAGCAAAAGGAAGAAAGGTGGGCTGTGGCCTCCCGCAGTGGATGACTCATCACCCTGTGATGACAGGTGACATTCCACCTCGTCGCCAGGGGCCTTTGGCCGGAGATAAAGGGAGCTGGCTCTGGTCCTGGGAAGCCAAGGACACACAGGTGGGAGAGGTGGCCAGGCCCCTGCTGGCCCTGGGGTGTGCTTGTCTGGACTGCAGGGCTGCGAAGGGGAGCTGGACAGGCGGGGCAGGTGGCCTGGGCCAGAGCCTGCCTTCCGGTAAGACACTGGGACCTCGGGTCCTTCCCTGCAAAATGGACCCTCCCTAAGGGGTCGACACTCCTGCCTCCCTGTGGCCAGGTGGAGAGCCAGTCTGTTTTCCCCCAGTCAATCAGCAAACCCAACTCAGAAAGGAACATCGAGGAGCCCTGAAGACTCCAGTTGGGCGGGGTTGTGTCCAAGCTGGTTTATATTTTACTCTTTAGAAAAGTGACCAGGTATGATAGTGCACACCTGTAATCCCAGCACTCTGGGAGGCTGAGGCAGGAGGACTCCAAGTCACAAGCCCAGCCTGGACAGCTTACAGACTTACCATGACCCTGTCTCAAAATAAAAACAAAAACAGGGCTGGGGATATAGCTCAGAGAGAAGGTCCTGAGTTCAATCCCCAGTACCGGAGAAAAACCAAATGTCCAGCTCTATCAGTGACAGCTGCATGCGGTGGAGGTGCTGCACGTGTGTGCGCGCTGCATCTCGGGAACAACACTGGGCTGCAGGAAAACGTGGCAGGGCCTCCAGCACTCAGCACCCAGTGCAGGCCCACTGTGCTGTGGGCCCCGTTCAAGGGTGTCTGTCCCAGGACCGGCTTCCTGGCGCCCCACTCTGCCATGTGACTTTCAAACTCATGGCTGAGGAGGGCTTCGTCTCGGCCTGGTGTTTGTGCGCGGCTGGGCAGCAGGGCAGGGAAGGCGCAGTGCGTGCCGGCCGAGTCCCCTGCCCCTTTGGCTCAGGCTGTGGTGGCTCTCTCAGAGCCACGAGGCAGCCCCACCGCGGCCTCGGGTTGTGCAGGAGGCTGGGCGGTGACTGTTCTGTCGGGGAGCGTCGCACCATCCACAGCGGGGTACACAGAGGTGAGGAACAGGGGAGCGGGGGCAGGGGGTGCTCAGGTGCTGGTGTCATCTGCCCTGGATTTGTCCTAAGTCACATGAATAGACACATCCTGCTGCCTGGCCCTGGTGCAGCTGACTGGCCCCACCCGGTAACACGTGTGAGCTATGGCCTCGTCCAGACGGGATCCGCTGGGTGGTGTCTGAGCGCATGCGCACCAGGGTTTATGTACCTAATCCCACGTTCCGTGCGTATCTCTACAGACCTGGAACGGCCAGGCAGATGGTCACATGCATTTCAAAAGTTGGGAAATGTCCCCAGTCCCTGCCTTCGGGGCCTGGTCCCCACTCGCCAGCCCATACTGTCACCTAAACAATCCTTCCCCCATTGTGACACCGGAGCCAGCATTTCTCCCACTAAGTCAAAGCGGGGTCCCTTATCGCTATGTGTTGCTGTCTATATTTTCAGATGTTATGTGCCATTGTTTTCTACTGAGTTATATTTTTCTTTATCTTATTACTAGCCTTTTTTTTTTTTTTCTTCTTTGAGACAGAGTCTCGATATGCAGTTCAAGCTGGCCTGGAACTTACAGCAATTCTCCTGCCTCAGCCTCCTGAGTGCTGGGATTGCAGGTGGGTGCCACCACGCCCAGCTTATTAGCCTCTTCCTATTTGAGATACAAATACATTTTAAATTGACATTTACTGAGGTATAATTTATATACAACAATCAATGCCCGGGACATTTGGGATCAGATAATTATTCCCTGTGGCACCTAGAAGGGTCTCTGGCCTCTCCTCACTGGCTGGCGCGAGCAGCCCCTCCCCACTCACAAACAACAAGGCCCCTGGATGAGGCCCAAGGGCTCCTGCCTGAGAGACGCAGGCAGAGAGGCTCTGGCTCCCAGGGGACAGCGTGATAAGCTACCACAGCTCTGTCCTCCCAAGAAGGCCTAACTAGTGTGCTGTGTGTCTCACTCATTTGATCCTCTGAGCGGTCCTCCGCGGTGATTTACCATTTTGCAAGCGAAGAAGCAAACCGCCTTGGGACTGTTAGCTGCCTTGAGTCGCGGCTTGTGATTTGGGAGAGCAACCAGGCTAAAGCCACAATCTCTTTTTAAAAGCTTTTCCCTCAACACATTCTAGTAGGAAACCATAACTCCGTTCTTCTTTCCCTGGAAAACTGTTATTATGGTTGGTGGGAAATTTAGACCGGGCCCTGTTTCTTTGCACACAGCTAATGGCTTTGATTATATGTTTCTGGCTTCTTTATTCTGAGAAAGCCGGCCATTGGCTGGGCGGTGTAATCAAGTCATTTCTTAAGTAAACAACCATCTGGCACGGAGTCAGCTCCGCCATCCAGGGAAGGGGAAAATGAAACTGCTCCAGGCCCGGAAAGCGGTCAGCTCTGCAGCAGCAAGAGGCCGAGGGTTAACAGCTTGAGCTGAGCAAAGGGCTGGGGCTCAGCTGTATCAGGAGGCGGAAACTCAGGGTGGTTGTTAATGCGTTTGTTTCAAAAGCTGCTTCCTGATGTAATTCATGAACTGCTCGTCGGAATATCAGGCACATCCTTCGAAAGCACAAGAGGAAGGAAGGAAGGAAAGGAGGGAGGGAGAAAGCAAGAGAGGAAAGGAGAGAGGAAGAGAAACTTCTAGTCCTCTTAGAGTTGATAGCCTTTATATACAAAGAGTTCTCACAAAACAATAGGAAAAGGTAAAACCATCCATTCACAGAGAAGGTCAGCAACCTATGTGACAAGGTCCACTCTGCCAGTCAAGAAGGAAATGCAGATGACAGCTGCGGTGACGTCATTTCCCACCTATCAGCTTGGCCCTGGGGGGTGGGGCAGCAGATGCAGAGAGAGGTGACCTCTGCTGGGTCCCAGCTGGAGGCCGCCTTCAGCCCTCAGGGTGGCCTGGCAGAGGACACCGTTATGTTCAACAGCCCGGAGTTTTAAAGCAAGCTGGAAATGTAACTTTGGGGCACTCATGCCAACATCTCATAGGCGAGAGAGTCTCTGTGCGCGTGGGAATCCACTGTTGGGGGAAATATCCCAAGTTCCAGACTACAGAGGATTTGTGAAGTAAACCCATATAATGAAACCTAGAGTAAAAATGCACTAATTAAATACAAAACACTGTATTAAACTGCATTAAAAACAGCAAGATAGAGAGACGACCGTGATCTACCACAGGAAGCAAGTGAGCTTGCGCAGTGGTGTGCGCATGCGCACCCAGAGAGCTTTCTTACCGGAAGCACCAAGGGTTTATTTCTCGGTGGGAGGAGCTTGGGTCGCTGACATCTCTACTCATCCAGGTTTCTCATCCCTGGCCCTACTGGCGTTTGGGGTGAGACGGTTTTCTGTTGTGGGGATTGTTCTGGGCGCTGTCGGGTATTCAGCTGCATCCCGCCTCTGCCCACTAGATACCAGGCACACCCCATCCCCCGCTCTCAGCAACCAAAAATGTCTCCAGTTGTCACCACAGGTCTCTTGGGAAGAAAACCACCCTCGGTTGAGAACCACTATTTTAAATGCTTCCTTGCATTACTTAAATAGTTTTCCAACAAGCATGTATTGTTGTCAAAATCAGAAAAACAAACACTTAAAAAAATTCGGTAAATACTTTGGGCCCTTGAGAATTGGTCAGAAGAATCCAAGCAGAGAGCAGAGATCGGTCATCTCCTTCCGTTGACAGAAGGTTCTGGTGCGGTAGGTGCACATTCTAAGGGATTTTCCTCATGTGAACAGAATGAGGCTAGAATCGCTCTACGTGTTTTAACACTGTGAAGAAAACCAGCCAGAGGGGAAACAAATTTAGAACCAAGAAGTCTGCAGAGTTGGGTAAACAGAAAAGAGGAAAGGTGTGAGAGCCTGGATCAAGCCACGCCTGAAGCTCATCCTTCTGCTAGCATTCTGTTTATGTGTGCCAATAAATTCCCTTTATCCTGTAAGTCATTGTAAACTGAGTTTCTATTACTTTTGGCCAAAGCTAACTGATCCAACCTGATTAATGACAGGAACCCATCACAAACGTTTCTGTTTGTGTCATTTCAGCAAATAGGTACTGGACACTTACTGGGCTGGGCGCAGCGCTGGTCCTAAAGCAGCAGAGAGATGGAGGAGGAGTCTGGGCCTTTGAGGACTCACTGCCTGGGGGGCAGGGGTGGGGTGCTGAATAGGGAGTGATGGTGCAGCTGAGCATGAGGCTGGCTTGGGGGTGGGGCGAGGCGTCCCCTGGAGGGAGAGTGGCAGCAGGACTCTGGGACAGAGGGGCATCTGAGAGAGCACAGTGGGGGACACAAAGCCAGCTTTTCCTTTCGAGGGGAAAAACCAAGGTGCCCACAAAGTCCAGACCCGGTGACTAACATTCTGTCAGCCAGCTGCCATGGCAAAGGGCAAAGGAGCAGTTGGGCTCGCAGCCTTCAGGAAACACTTCATCCTCCCTGGATCCTCCGATGACTGTGGGCCATTTAGAGAGGTCATGGAAGGCAGCACTTGAGCTGAGAGTGAGGAGGAGTCGCTGGCGCTGCCTGGTGGGAAGAGGTTTCAACAGGCACGGCAGCCTCTGCAAAGGCCCTGTGGCAGGAAGGAGCATGAGAGGATGAAGCACTGCTGTGACTAGACCCTCTGATTTCACACTGTGCTCCACCCAGCCCACAGTGAGTCTTGCTATCCCCATTTTACAGATGGGAAAATCAAGGCACAAGGAAGCTAAGGGACCTGCCGAAGGACACAGGCAGGCAGTGGCAGAGATGGAATCCAGCCTGTGCTGTGTCATCACCTGGCCCATCACTCCTGGAGGGTCAGCAGCAGCTTTGGTGGGATGGGGTGTTTCCCGCTGGGGGAGCACAGCGGCTCTCCAAGTGTGGCCCAAGGACCCCTGTGGGTTCCCGGGACCCTTCCAAGGCTTTGCCCCGGATTCGTGTTTCTGCTGCCGCCTTCCCATGACGCCCATGTGAAGCAGGTGTTGGTGGCCATGTGCGTCCCACATTGCGGCTGCACCAGAAGGAGGGGCCCCGGCCGGTGCTGGTGAGAGGCTGCACTCCCGCCCCGGCCCAGCTGTGACACCAGCTGCCGCCACCGCCACAGCCCAAACACCCCACAGCATCGGGGCCGGCCCGGCTGCCACGTGAGGCTCATCCTAGGCCAGAGGGGACACCGGCCAGCGCCACACCCGCCACTCCGCTCACTGCCCTCTCCTACCTGGCAGTGTTTGGCTGTTACAGAAATATTATTGTGTATAATAAGTATAGTTCTGTCATCTGTTACATAAACGATGTCTATTGCATCGGATGCACTGCACTGTAATACTGTCGTGGGTTTATGGGTGTGTTTTATGAACCCCTCAGTTTAGGGTGCAGTACAAATACTCAGTGACACAGCCCACACATACGGAAGCTTCCTGGGAGCCTCCATAGGGTTCGGCTTTGTTTTGGTTTGGAGACAGGGTCCCACTGTGCAGCGCAGGCTGGCTTCAAACTCACTATGTAGCCCAGGCTGGCCTTGAACTCGTGGTGATGCTCCTCCTCAGCCTCTCGAGTGCTGGGATCACAGGCAGGAGCAGCTGCCCCCAGGGTCTTGCAAAGCAGCTCCCACCAAGCCTGGGCGCGGCCAAACACAGCACCCATGCAGTGGCGATGGGTGTCCGGGGAAAGCCAGCCTGCCGCAGGCAGTGTTTGGTGGCCCGGTGACCCTGAGTCCCGTGCCCTCGTCCACGTCCCTGCCCCAGTGGTTCAGCCTCACACCAGAGAGGCAAGCCCACGTGCCCCAGGCTGCACCGCAGGAAGGGACAGAGCTAGGACTCGAAGCAGCCCCCCTCCAGGCCCTGCCCTCTTGACCAGCACACCTTCCTGCTGAGAGGCTGTTTGTCCCCAAGGCCCCGGGCAGCCTTAGCCCACGCTGGGGGCTCAGACTCCAAGGCTGGAGCCAGGAGGATCAGATCCCAAGGGCCCCTCTCGTAGGCAGAGGCTGTGGTCTCCTTGCCCCAACTTTCCCAGGGAAGGACAGGGGCCGCGAGTGGGGTCTTCTAGGGCAACCCCTCATGCTCTTGGTGAGGCCCAGAACCAGGCCCAGAGAGGCCAAGAAATACCCAGAAGTCACACAGGGTGTCATAGGAGTACTGAGGCCACGCCTGAGGGAGCTTGCAGGAAGCAGAGGCCCTGGGTGGGCACAGAGCTGTCCCCACGGAGGGCTCTAGGGGCTCCTGGGCCACCTTGGTTACATCCAAGCTGTCACCACCATCAGTGCCAGGCGCTAAATGTCCCTCCAGCCTAGCCGTGTGCCCCTGCCACCCGCCCCCCGCTCTCCGGCTCCCAGCCCACCCACGGTTTCTTCTACACGCAGCCAGAGGGACCCCAATAAAACCCGTCACAAAGCATCCTCCCTCTGCCTACAACCCTCCGCGGCTCCCAGCGCAGGAAGAGCCGCGACCTCCTCCCCGTGGCGCGGGCCCTGCCTGGCGGCCCTGCCTAACTGCCCACCGGCCGGCACCTGCCCCGAGGACCTGCGCCATGGCCAGATGCATTGACTTGCAGTTTCTGGAGAGCCTCGGGCCTTTCCACCCCACCTCTTCTCTCTCCCTAGAGCCCTGGAACGCTGCTCCCACTAGTTTTTTTCTTCTTCTTTTTTAAAAATTGGGGTGATTTGAAGACAACACTATGCCACGGAACAACCACTGGTGAGCTCCTACCATCTTGTCGAGCGAAACTCTGCAGTGTCTGTAATGTTTTATCTAATAATTATTTTTTATAGTCACCTTCTAGATGTCACCTCCCCTGGCGAGCCCACCTGCGCCCCTGCTTCCGTGTTTTGGGTTGTCTCTTGGAGCAGCTGATGCCCTGGTGCTTTCCCGTGTCTGTGTGACCTGCCAGAGTACAGCGGGGGAGAGCCATGTCCGATTCTTTGTAGTGCATCTGGCACCTGCAGTGTGAACTCGGGGTGTGTTTGTTGAATGACTGACCAACCACGGGGAGAGAGGCAGAGAAGGGATAAGAGACTGTGAAATGTAGACCAGGCTCCTGCTCTGTGCCAGGCCCTGTGCCAGCTGCTGGGGACAGCAATGAACAGAGCAGACATAGAACCTGGTCTTGTGGAGCTGATGTCCCCAAAGATGATACCATCAGTCTCTAGCAAGAGGGCACAAGGCATGATGGGATCCCCCCAGAAGACACCTGACCACCCCCGGGTGGGGACAGGTCCTCGTGGGGACCTCAGCGGGGCCAGAGGACAGAGGCGCAGCAGGGTCGGAGCTTTCCATGGGCACACCTGGCATCTGGTGCTGGCAAACACCTGCTGCCCGTGCAAGGCTGAGAAACAGGCACAGGCGGGGCCGCTGGGGATGGGAGGAGCGGGAAGAGGGGCTGAGCGGCCTCGGGGCTTTGGACCAGGAGGGATGGTCCAGCCAAAGAGAGGAGTTAGGCAGGGAGGGCCTGGCTGACACACGGGACTCCTGGAAAGTGGGACTTCACCCTGGGGCACAGCAGAGACAGGCTGAACTCCAGCTCAGCCGGTGAGGAGTCAGCAAGGGCCTCCCAGAAGAGGTGGCATTTGAGCCTAGAAAGAGGCTGTCAGGTAATCTGGGTTGAAATCCAGGCACAGGGCACAGCAGGTGCAAAGGTCCTGAGGTGGGAACAGACACAAGAGGTCATGGGAACCCATAAGCAGCCTGCAGGGCAGAAGCATGGAGATTACAGGGAATACCATGCAAGGCCTCAGAAACCACGAGGATTGGGGGGCCATTGCAAGAGCAGTGGGGAGCGCCCTGGGCTTCACCAGGGGGGAAATCACTGGCTTGGGGCCCAGTGGGTCTCTGACCACGTGTGACGTGAGGGTCCTAGGCGGGGGCAGAAGCAGAGGTCCTGAGTGACAGGGCTGCGGCCAGGCGTTTGAGAGGTGCAGCCTCTGCCCTGGCTGGTTGGATGGGGCGCAAGGGACGGAGCACCGCAGAGCGGGCTTCTGGCTCCTGGGTCTTGGCTGCAGGTGGCTGCGGCTTCCTCTCCCCTCGTGGCTCCCAGGGCCTTGGCCCTGACATCCGCAGCTCCCAGCCCTTCCTGGCCCAGCTCGGGAGAAGGGACAGGACAGGCGCGGTTGGATTTTCCCAGAGCTGGGGCTTTGCCTCCAGCGGAGGAACCGTGCTCACACAGGCCTCTCCCTAACGTGACAAGGCCAGAGACACTCAGGTCCCATGGGCTGTGCTGGGCAGGGCAGCGGGCGGCCCTGGTGGTCCGGGGCTGGGTGCCAGTCCCGCCTCAGGCTCCGTTGGGCGCAGCGAGGCCGCCTCCCAAGGCGGGGGCCGACTTCCGTGGAAAATACCTGCACAGAGTTAGCGCCTGGCGGTCGGCGGTGAGCAGGATTTCGCTCTCATTTCTCACACAGCCATCCGAGGCTGCCCCCCTGACCCCCGGCCTCTCGGATGCCGCAGAGCCGGCTGCAGGGGGGCTCCCCGCTTCAGCAGACTGAGACACTGAGGTTTCAGGGCGTTGGAGAGGAAAGGGGGGAGCTGGGGGCCACAGCAGTCAAGCACACCCACCCCCCAGCGGGACAGCCGCTCTGCCCTTGCACAGGCAGGAGGAGGACCTGTGCGCCCGCTGCCCCCAGGGACGGCGTCCTGGCCCAGAGCCCAGCACAGTGCCCGGGGAGCGCGCCAACCTGAGCCTGGTAGAGACTACTGTGTTACAGACCCTCCGCCAGCCCCGGCCCCTCGCCTCCCGGCAGCTGAGGACGCAGAGGCTCAGACAGGCGGTGGGGCTGTCAGCCCTCGAGGACAGTCACCGCCCGTCACCTCCAGCAGAAAGGGGCCTAGGTGGCGGCAGATCCACAGCATCTGTTGCATAATTAAGGCGAAAAACAGTTTGTAATTAAACAAGGGAGCCAGGACAGCAGCAGCCCCAGCAGCCGCGGGCAGCGCGGGAAGGGAGGCCGCCCCTTGGGGAGGCTGGGTCGGGGAAGGCGGGTCCCCCATGGGGGTCGCAGCCCTGTGCTCCCCTCCACACAACCAGCTCCCCCTCCGCCAGCGTGTGACCCTGCCTCTGCCCCTTCGCCCTTGAGCCTCGTTCCCTGGACAACGGCCGGCCGGAGCCGGTTCCATGTAGTTCTGCCTCCCCGGGCGCAGGGCCTTTGTGCCTGCTTCGCCCCCTGCCTGGAAAGTGCTTCCCTTGCCAGATCTCCCAGCCAGCCCCTCTCGCCTCCTTTGGTCACCACCCAGATGTCTTCTGCTCCCTGTCGTTGTCCTGTCGCCACCCAAAATTCTCTGCTTCCCTTGCCTGTGGCCCGTCCGCTGCCTGTCTCGGCACTGGAAGCTCAGCTCCGGGAAGAAAGGGAGTTTGTGCCATCCATCGCTGTGTCCCTAGACCACCACCACCTCCCCCACCCCGCGCAGGGCCCGGCACACAGTAGATCTCATGGTCTCAAGCTGCTTCGTCTCTTCTTAGCTGTCTCTCTTCCTTCCACAGCAGTCAGGCCCGTGCACAGATGAGCAGAACCCCGGGCAGGTGAAAGAGACACGCCTTGCCAGGGACAGCCTCAGCCTTAGGCTCTTGCTACACGGACAGCCGGGGGTGATCTCCCGGCCCGCAGAGCCGGGCTCTACAGCAGGCAGCCTGGGTCCGAATCCCCGCTGCGTCTCTCCCTGCACGGGGGAACCTGGGCTTTGTGACTGCACATTTCAGGCCTGGGTGTTCTGTGCCATGGAAACGGACAGTTGTGCCGGTCTCCAGGGTCAAACGGGTTAGTGCCTAGCAGGGGTCGAGGCCTGTGTGCCCACCAAGTGCTGACACAGTGTGCCGAAAAGTGTGCTGAATTAGGAGGTAAAGGTAACGGTGCTCATTTCACAGACGGGAAACCGAGGCATGGGGAGATGACGGAATAAGACAGTGGAACTGAGGAGCAAGCCTGAGGCCGTCCAGCTTCAGAGGCCTCGCTGGTCCCGCAGAGGTGACACCGGCCTTGGGGCTGTCAGGCCTCAGACCCCTCCCTGGGGGGAGGCAGGTCCCGAAGACAGGGCCCCAGCGCCTAGAGCTGCCGCACCTGGCTATTCCCATTCCGTCTGCCGGGTGGCTGTGGAGCAGTGCGCACCCCCGCTTCTCAGGCCATAGAATTTCAGGGGAGCCGCTCCTGCCAGAAGCAGGGAAGCTCAGGGGAAGCTGGGACGTGGTTGCAGGCCACAGGGCTTGGTGGCCACGTGGTCCCATCTGCTCTTCTGAGAGCCGGTCCTGGACTTCCACCGGAGCAACAGGGAGGGAGCGCTCACCTTTCCCAGGCCTCTGCCCTGAAGGGGCGGTCATCACGCTCTCAGCAGTGGTGGCAGCCACTGTAGGCCTAAGCCAAGAGCTACTGCTTATGGAGCAGTAGGGGTGCTGGGCTCTGGTTTGTGCTTCTTGTATGTTAATTAACTCAATCTTCCAGAAAGACTTGAAAAGCTTGATTATCATCCAAGCACCTGGATCCCGCTGTGCCTGAAGCAAGACCATCCCTGGAATTTTTTTTTCTTTTTTAAATGTGACCCAATAAATTCTCATTTGCTTAAACTGGTTTGAGTCAGGTTTTTGTCCCTTGCAACTGAGACAGCCCTGACTAATCCACCTGCCTTCCGGACACTGTCTGAGCTTCTATCTCTCTATCATTACCGTAGCTGGAGCAACGCGGCCATTAAATGTTCTACGCTTGTTGCTGACTCACTGGAACTCTTGGTCCGCTCTTCCCACCTGGAGGCCCCGGGCCTGCCCCATTCCCACGCACCCCGGGTGCGACAGTGAACGAGGGCTGTGTGTACCCGTGTTCCAGACGGGCGCCCCTGGGTCTGCTCTGCCCAGCGTGGCTCCCAGCCGCTGCTTTGCGAACATGGCCGCCTTACCCAGCCAGCAAGGCGGGGCTGCACCATCCCCACTTGAAAGGCAAGGCACACGGGGGTTCCGAGGGCACAGCAGCCCCACAGCGGCAGTCCAGACCCTAGCTCCCCGAGCAGCACCCCCAGGCCACAGCCCCAGAGGGGGAACCTGCGGTCCTCCAGGGTTACCACACCCTTCCGCACATAGGCCCCTGGCCCCGCACGTGTCGGTAGGGTGTGCAGGTGTGGGACGGTGCATGCACAGAGCACATGCGTATAGGTGCTCTATAGGCATAGAGTCTGTGTGCACATAGGATGTGTGTGTACCATGTGTTCCTAATCTACACGTGCAGGCTGTAGTATCTGTGTATGTGTCTGGTGTGTGTGTCTGGTGTGTATAAATTTACATGCATGCAGAATATACACACCCATGTGTGCAGGGTGCGTGTGTCTAACACCTGTGGAAGCCCTTGGTGTCGTGGACCTGTTGTGCAGAGACCAAGGCCTCTTCTCCCCACCCAGGCCACTGTCACCTGCCCTGTGGCCCCTAAGCACCCCCCAGCTTCCCTGCTCCTGCCCTGCCCACCCTGCAGCCTTCTCCCCCTGAGGCCACAGGAATCTGTGGGAACTGAGCTGGGTCAGGTCTGGTGGCTCCCACCTCAGCTAAGGCCGAAGCCCTCACAGCGGCCCATGAGGTCCTGGGGGTGTGGCCTCACTGCCCTTGCCTCGTCCCTCCCCCCTTCCAGGCTCCCTTGGCCCGGGCCTCATCTGTCACTCAGGCCAGGCACACCACCCCTCAGGGCCTTTGCACATGCAGCCCCAATCTTCAGGTAGCTCTGCTGCCCCAGGAGTTGCTACTCAGATCTCAGCTGAAATGTCGGCAGCCCACCAAGCGCTTCTACTCCTCCCTGTGTGAACACAGCCCCTATTTGCTTCAGCTTCCTACTCCACTCTCTTGGCCCCATGTGACATCCGGGGCCCAAGGCCCCAGCTCCAGGAGCACCGAGCATCCCTGCCCAGCACTAGATGGTGCCCGGCACACACTAGGTGCTCAGGCAATGGCTGGCACTTGCGGGCCTCACACGCTGCTCTGTCCCAGGCCCCACCTGCCTCAGCCGCCCTGTCTTCTCTGCAGATCCGTCCCGTGAGGCAGGTCAACTGGGGGACGGGCCAGCCACCCCTCCCCAGGCCCTGCCGTCCCCCTCGCCTCACGTGGCTTCTTTCTGGGCACAAAGGGGCCTAGCGCAGCCCCAGCCCCGCACACACGCGGGAGCCGGAACCTTCCCGGCAGCGGACGCCGCTGTGACGGGGCGGCTCATCCGCTCAGCTTCCTTCTCCTTTGCGGCTGAAAGTTACCAACAGGGCCCTTTTCTCTTGGTCGTTTATTTTTAAAAGACCCAGAAAGGGAAGTATATGGTGTACCCTCCTTCCCTCCCTCTTCCCGGAGCTTCTATCTGCAGATCCTGGGGAAAACACTGCCTCCGGGAGCCCGCAGTCCCCGCGGGTGCCGGCGTCCCTGAGTGGGGGGCTTGTCCTCGGCAGGGAGCGGCAAAGCGGCCGAGGCTGACTGATCAGGGCTCCGGGAGGAGCCAGAGCTTCCCGGGATGTAAGTCACGCACCAGAAGCCGCCTGCTGTGCGCAGCTGCAGGGGCTGCAGCTTGGTGTCACAGTGGCACGTGCCGCACGCCCTGTGATGCCGGGTCACTGTCCTCAGCCCTAAGAGCAGCCGCTTCCACCCCACCCCCAGCCCTGGCCGCCCTTGCGCCACCTGCCAGCTCTGTGGCTTTGTCCCTTCTGACCTGACGCACAAACGGAGGCGCGCCGGGCGTGTCCTTCGCACCCGGCCCCGGGGGCTCTGTGTGGTATTTTCAGGGTCCGTGCGCACCGGGCAGCTGTCGCACTTCTGTCCTGTGTGGCCGGCTGACGCCCCGCTGGGTGGACAGGCAGGCACAGGCCGTAGAGGCCGGGACAGACTAAGTTACATCTCACCTTGCCACTAGCTCAGGGACATCCGGGTGGTGTCCCTGTCCAGCCAGCATGGACAGGCCTGCCTTGAGCACCCGAGTATGAGGCTTTGTGTGTTCTCTGGGGTGCAGGCCTGCGGCTGGGACGGTCCCAGGGGCCCTCGGGTCTGACCCTTTGGGAACGGCCAGGCTGTCTCCAAGTGGCCTCGCCGTTCCCAGTCCTGCAGCCGGGCAGTGGGGCTTCTGTGTGCTCCATCCTCGCCCTCAGTCCAGGCCTCGCTGCCCTCCTTGAGCATGGCAGTCCGGAAGGCGGGCAGGTAAGCCGGCGCTTTTCCTTCACAGTTGGAAGCATTTACAAATCAGCGTTTGCGTCCAGTCAGGGTCTCTGGTGCTCCTGGAGCCCAGTGCCCTTCCGGCGTGGTGGGGGCTGGGCCCCGCTGCAGCCAAGGTGCGGCTGCTGTCCTGTCGCACGGCCTCGGCCAGCGCCTCCCGGTTGAAGGGCCCGCGAGGTCTGCAGCCCCCGCTGAAGCCTGTGGAGACAGGCCCCACTCGGCCTCTCTGGGAGCGTCATCTGTCAGAGCACGAGGAGTGGAACCGTGTATCATCTCCTTGTCTCCTCACTGGGACCCTGGGACAGGTTCTTTGTCCCCGGGTGCAGATGAGAAAATGGAGGACAGCGAGGACGGGCCCCGCCCTGGGTCACACGCTGCCAAGAGCTGGGCTGGGTTCAGGGCCAGGACTCAGGGCAGCGGCCACATGGGGAGCCGTGAGCCATCCCGGCCCTTTCTGGCTTTGTCCCCTGTCCACGCTCTGAGGTGTGGCCCAGATTAAGGTCTTTCTTCAGAAATTATATGTGATCCAAAAAGTCCAAAGTGGCCCCTGGTCTTTCTACCCCTGAGCCGTGCATGGCCCAATAAGTGCTGGTACCAAGGGGCCTCCATTTTGAACAACCATATCCTAGATAGACAGCTGGTAGATAGATAGGTAGATAGATAGATAGATAGATAGATTATTGGTTGGTATTGACTGACTGCACCCACTAAACCGTGAGTCCTGGTAGGGTAGGGACGCTGTTTGTTCACTTCCACTCCATCTGTAAAAAGCAACTGCCAGGCAGCGTCTACTGCAAGAATATTTGCTGGTGAGGAATGAGCTTGTGATTGTTTAGAATACTTCCCAGCTTACTTCTTTGTAACTTTTTTCCTCCCGAGGTGCTTGGCTAAATGTCTAAATACCACTGAATTTCTACCTCCAGCTGCTGAGCGAGCTCCTCAGCCCGCCTGGGCCTTGCTGTCCTCAGGTGGCATGTGGCATCCGCATGGGACCTTCCTGAAAGTGACCACGTGTGCAGCATGTGTGACAAGGTCGGAGTTGGCAGCTGTCATCAAGGTTACTATTTGTTTCCATCTGCAAACAAGGGCAGGGGATTTGGGGACAAAGGTGACGGAGATGCTATCTCAGGGTGACTCAGGAATGCATCATGGAGAGGTCACAAGAAAGGTCACAGTGTCCTTGAGAGGTGATAAGTCACCCACTGCCCAACGAACTTGAGAGGAAATGGGTGACTCGTGGTTCGTGTGAGCCGGAAGTGTCCACAGGAGCATTGCTCAATCCATGTGGGGACAGCAGGGCCCTCCGATACCCGTGCACCCCGAAGATGCTGGGGGTGGTATGCATGCCAGGCCTCATGTGGGAGGGGCTCCCAGCCCTGCAGCGCTGCAGGAGGCGTGGAGCAGCCCGAGTCCCTCCCGAGAGGAGGCCTGGCCTCCCACACTGCAGTCTCAGGGACTGGTGGCATCTTCTCCTGCTTGGGTCTTGTCCTCTACTTCCACCAGGTCTGATCACTGAGGCCTCTGTCTAGTGGGCCCACCAGAGCTGGCAGGTGGTCTCCTCTCCAGCACATTTCCTGGTCACAGGGAATGGGGACCGTGGTGTCCAGCCTCCGCAGCGGTGAGACGGGGGCCCTTTGCATGACTCAGGAGGCGGGTGTGGAATAGCAAGGGCAATTTGGGAGCAACCTCTTATCTATAGGGTTTGCCACCTTGGTCAGGTGCTCTCGACACTCTCTAAAAGGCTTTAAATGTAAAGATCTTGTTATCTCAGGATTGGTTAATGTGACAGCTCAGAGGCGCCAGTGAGGACCAGCGTCCTAGGACTTGGGCTTTATCCTCCAGCTGATTCTCCTCATTGACACAAAGTGGCTGCTGCAGCTCCAGACTTCACAGCCCCTCCCTCATAACACTAGAAAGATAAAAGCTTATTATTTTTTTAATCTAAGAGGTGTCTTGTAGTATGGTTAGTTACAGGTGTACAGTTGCACAGCAGATCTCTAGAATGTAATTGTCCTCCATGACTGAAACTTTATACCCATTAAGAGCAGCTCCCCACAGCCTCCTGTCCCCAGGTCCTGGCAGCCGCCAGTCTACACTCTCCCTACTGGAATCACAGCATTGTCACCTGTGACCTGATTATATCACTGAGCACAGTGGCCCAGCAGTCATCCTTCTGGATATTTATCTAAAACCATTGAAATCAGGGTCTCTCGACATTCGCTACTTCATGTCCGTTGCAGCTCTACTGACAGTTGTCAAGGTGCAGAAACGGCCTACATGTCCATCAAAAGACAAACAAGATGTAGAAGGGGTCTTCATCCAGGTGTGGGGGTGCACACCTGTAATCTTAGCAGCCTCAGAGGCTGAGGCAGGAGGACCACAGACTCAAGCCTGGCCCAGGCAACTTAGTGACTTAGCAAGACCCTGCTCACAATAAAATAAAAGAGGAGCAGGGTTGGAGCTCTTGTGAAGGTCCTGGGCAAAATCCCCAGTAACACACACACACACACACACACACACACACACACACACACACGCACGCACACACCAAAATTTTGAAAAACAGAGGAATCTGGGGTCTGTACAGAGCCCTCTCATGACCCCAGGGTTCCTGTAGGATGTTCTGCCAGGGATGCCAAGGGGACCTGTCCCTCCCACGGGGTCAGTTTGCTGTCCCCGAAGCGGGGTGCTAGGCCCAGGGTCAAGGAATATCCAGAGAGAGCAGAGAAGCCTGTGGATCTGCCGCAGCGGGCAGGGGGACCGAGCCCCTGCCCCCTCACGGGTCCCTGCCTGAGCCCCAGAGGCTGCCGCGGGCAGGTGTCCAGGCCTGAGGGCTGAGCAGACCAGGAAAGAGGGGCAGAGCTGTAGAAAGGAGAGGGGGCCCCATGCCTGCCGGGAGCCAGCGCTGTCCAAGCCCGAGGCGCCTGATATGCACACACACAGACACCGCATGCCCTCCACCTGCAGGACGCTGTCCCCAAGGACGTGGCTCTCCAAGGTCTCACCTCCGTGACACAGGCACCAGGGCCGCAGCGATGATCACACTCCTGGTGTGTCACACACCGGACACTACTGTTACGAGGCTTGCTGGGGCCGCAGCAGTGGGAGACATTCGGTCTTCTTCCCACCAGGCAAATGAAGAAATGGGCAGAGAGAGGTAAGCGGCTTCCCCAAGGCCACACAGCTGTTCAGTGGCAGAGGCAGGATTTGAACCCAAGCCCTCGGCCACCAGAGCCTTGGGTCCTGCTGGGACTCCAAGTTCCCTGTCTGCAGCACAGGCCCCACCAGAACCCGGGGACAGGAAGGGGCTTGGGGAGGCGCAGGCGGTCAGGGTGCAGGAGGAGTGTTCGTGCCCGCGCTGACTCCGCCCCAACTCCCAGCCTCAGACGCTTCCTCCCACCTGCCTCAGTTGCCTCCTGTGCCAAACGGGGAGCTGAGGCTTGGCCCTGTGTGTGGCACCTGCCAGCCCACGGTGGCTCTGCTCCAGCGCCGCTGCCTGGGGCAGCTTCTGCCTCCACCTGCAGCCTGAGGCCCGGCCACAAACACCACCCCCCTGCCGCGCCCCTCTGGCCCTCTGCCGGCTCCGTCCCAGCCTGGCATCCTCTGCCCCGCACACCCCACGGTGACGGTGGTGGCGACAGTGACGAGAGGCGCCCACACAGCACAGAGGGCGCTGAGAACCGGGGTGGGTGGCAGCGCCGGCGCTTGGAGGCCGCCAGAGGCCGGGCACACTGCAGGGAGCCGCGGTGTGGCCAGCGTGGGCTGAGACACGCACACACACGCACACGCACGCCCGCGGGAGCCAGAGCAGCCCGTGCCGAGCCAGCGCACACCGGGGCTCGGGCTGCGCCTGCAGCCATCTTAATGAAAGGGATCTCTGGGCACAGCGCTGCCCGCTCCCCAGGGCACGCACACAAGGGGCCATCGTCAGAAGGCGGGCGCGGGGCACCTCTCAACAGGCTCCGCTGGCAGGGGTGCCACTTGTGGAGGCGGAAACTGGCAGCCCGTCTGCCCGCCCGGGGACCCTGCTCCTGCAGAGCCTCCTGCCTGGTTCTGATCCCTCCCAAAGGATCAGCTCCCAGGCCGCCTTCCCTCCCTGACTCCTGGGCGCTGATTAGCACTCAAGGGGCAGCAGCCAGGGCTCCCAGGGAGCCCTGTTCAGAAGCACGGAGTCTGGACATAAAGGCTCACGCTGTGTGAGTTTGGGGAAGTGGCTTTCCCTCTCTGAGCCTTGGTTTCCTTGCCCATAACGTCAGGTCATGACAGCAACTGCCTGCCGGGTTGGTGGCACAGAAGTGGTGAGAGCACATACAACACCCAGGCCAGAGGCACAGCTGGAACCCGGAGAGCACTGGGCCTGCTGCCTTTCCCTGGGCTGGTCACTGCCCCTTCTTCTGGAGGCGCTTGTTCCGAGGCCCTGGCACACGGAGGGGCCCAGCACCCAGCAGGTGCTCAGTGATGGCACTCACCTGTCAGACGGGCTTGTTTCCTCCTTCACCCCTTCCGTTCCTCTTCTGCCCGCCTTGTCCTTGCACCCACTGTGTGCCGCGTGACCGGTGGCAGCAGCTGTGCCTGGAGAGGTCCCATCTCATGAGGCCCGTGGGCTCCCGACAAGTGTTTGTTGACTGAATGACAGAAGGCAATCAGAGACCATTGCCACTTCCAAGGAGCTCCAGGACCCTGGAAGGAGAGGTCGGGGACCCTTGATTGACCCATCGGGGACTGTACTGTCTGGATCCTGCCTGTCCCCAGTCTCGGTGGCCCCTCCCCAGGCAGCCACGGCCCCCACACCCCGGCCCCACGCTCTGAGTGGAGCTCAGAGTCAGCACTCCCCGGCCTGCTGCCCAGGTCTTGACCTTGGACCCTGCTGGACACCATGGACAGTGTCCCGTGAGCTCGGTGGCACCCCTCCCACCCCAGCGGTAACAACCGGATATCCCCAGGCACAGCCAAGTGTCTTGAGGGGAACTATAGACTGCTCCCCATCGAGACCCCCTAGGCTGAGGCCAGGGACTTGGATCTGCCTGGCTTCCTGCTGTCTGCCCCTGTGCATGCAGTCGGCACTGAAATGTAACTGTGGAGTGAATGTTGAATAGCTGTCCTCTGTCCTAGAATTCCTTTTTACCCCTCTTTCTCTGGCAAACTCCTATTCATACTTCAGGACCCTGGCAGACAACTTGTATGAAGAAAGAGAGCCAAGCAGGAGCTGGGTAAGCAGGAGAGCGACTGCTATGGGCTGTTCTCCGCCTGGGACCCCACTCCAGCCCCCTACGGTGGGCCAGATCTTCCCGGTTGCCAAGAGGATCCAGAGAAATGGATTTTACATAGAACAGCCTTGCGTTTCAAACACTGGCCACTGATTCAGTTCTTAAAAGTACTTTAAGGGCCGCAGCAAACATATCTCCAGACTGGACTTAACCTGGGGCAGCTCCTCCAGGTCTGCTCTGGGGTCTCACAGACGCAGTCACCAATGTCTTCCCACACCCCGCTTCGCAGTGCACACTCAGGCAACTCTGAAGGTGGGCGTCAGGCAGGGCAGCAACCCCAGCACAGGACGGATGCCCAGGAAACAGGCCCAGCGTAGGCCTGGAGGTGGGGGCTCCGTCTGGGGACAGAGGAGGCTTGGGAGGACCCAGCGTTCTCAGGGGGTGTTCATGCCCACACTCCTTGGCTTCTCTGAGAAATACAAACAGGGAAACTGAGGCAGGCAGGGCTAGCGCTCCCAGAGACCCAGGCCTGAGGTCATGGCAGGCCTGTAGGGAGCCAGCGCCTGGCTTCTCTGAAAGCCCTCCTTCTCCAGGGCCTGGCCAAGAGCCTGCTCCTGGAGCTCCGCCCACATCCAGCACCCGCTCGAGCATCTGCCCTTTCTGGGATAGAACTTCCCGGAAGCAGGGCATCAAGAAAGCCGCTCTCAGGAACCCAGGCCTGTCCTGCTCTGGGGAGGCCACGGGGCCGTGGGCAGAGAACAGGCTGTGGACCCAGGTCCCCGGCCCTCAAAGCCACAGCCCCTCTCTGGGGCTGTTTCCACCAGCCGCATCTCCCAGCCAGACCCCAGGCCACCGGCACCCCCACCCCAGACACCAGGGACCCACAGACTGACCCAAAGCTGTGGCCCCTAAAGACTCTCCGATTGCGTCCACACCTGTCACAAGCAGCCTTCTCACAGGGCGTGGTGGCACATGTCTGTCATCCCAGCACCCTGGGAGGCTGTGGCAGGAGGATCTCAAGTTTGAGCTCAACCTGAGTCATTTAGCAACTTAAACAAGACTCTGTCTCAAAATAAAACATAAACATAAAAGCCAGGTTGGGGAATGTAGCTCAGTGTGGGAGCCCTAGGTTCAATCTCCAGTACTCCACACCCGCAAAAATGCAGGCTCCCACAGAAGGAGCTCAGCAGGCACATGGCACATGGTTGATGCCAGCCAGGAAGGAAAGGATGTGTCATTCTGTGTACACGTCCTCCTCCCCGAGCTGAATTATCGACACCCTACCCTTTCCTTCCTTGCCATACTTACTCATTCAACAAACCTTGGATGAGCATCTACTTGTGCCAAGGTCTGAAGACTTCATGGAGAACTGCACTCTGCACCCCTGGAGCTTACAGTCTGGAGAGCAGGTCCCCCAAATTATAAGGTCTTATAGGAGCAAGAGCTGTGCAAAGAACTCAGGATAAAAAGATAAGGAACCCTGAGGAGCAAGGGAGAGGGGAGATCAAACAGGCCCTAGGGCTTCTGCAAGAAGGGTAAGGTGGGCAGAGGGAACAGCTAGTGCAAAGGCCCTGGGGCCAGGGTACCCAGCATATTAGAGGAACAGAGGCCTGGGATGGCTGGTGGAGAGAAACCAAGGCAGACTTAGAGGTGACAAGGTGGGAAAGGGAACTGGGGACCCACTGTGCAGGGCCTGGCAGGCTGCAGAGGGAACTCTGACTTTTCTGCCAAGTGAGATGGGTGCCATGGGAGGGTTTTGAGCAGAGAAAGGTCATCACTTGACTTTCTGTTATTATCCCCATCTTAAAGGGATTGAGGCCAGGCAAGGCTAAGTCCCTCTCCCAAGCTCATGCAGACGGCAAAGGACAGAGACGAGACATGAGGTTCCCCAAAGCCAGAACATTCCCAGTGACGGCCTCTGGGTGTGGGGTGAGTCAGGAGGCCAGACTTGGGGGGTGCTGCTCTTTGGAGTCCCCCGGCCCTGTCTGATGCCTGTCCCTTCCCCACAGCGGCCCCAGCTCCGATATTCTGGGGCTGCTTTGCCTGGGGTGGGGCATCCCCTCCCCCATATGCATGGCAGATTTTTGGCAACAGAATAAATCAAGCCATTTAAAGGACCGCGGTGCTAGCAGAGGGGTGACAGAGACGGCCCAAGTAAGACCCCGGCCTGCGAAGTCAGGCCCACAGCAAGCACAATCACTTTCTTTTTCTTGTAAAGGGAAGAGAAGTTGTCAGGCTGCTGGTTTCGCTCTGAGCGTGTCCGCTGTCTTTCCAGTAACAGCCGGGAGCCACCCATGGGGGCTGGGGGCTGCGGGCTGCGGAGGATGCCACCCCGCCCCCCGCTTCACCTCCCGTGGTTGTGGTATCTGATTTTCCCTCAACACCAAATTGAAACTGTCCGGGGTGGAGGCAGGCAGCATGGAGGTCGCTGTGGTTGGCACAGGAAGGTATTTTAGGCGCCCGCCTGCAAGGGTGGTGAACTTCTGGTGTTAAAAGCAGAATTGCTTTTCAGTAAATGCTGTTACTCAAAAGGAAACTGTCTGTACCACGGCCACCCTGAGCCTCTCCCAGCTCCACCCTCTGCCAGGCCAGAGTGGGCAAGGGGTCAGCCCTGGTGCCCCTGGAGCCCTCAGTGGACCCTGGCCTACTGACACTGAAGACCGAATCCCACAGCCCACTGGGCAGTGCGCCTCGAGCAGCAGTGCACTCGGTGTTTAAAAGTCCCAAGAACTGGGCGTGGTGGCCCAGGCCTCTAATCCCAGCACTTGGGAGCCTGAGGCAGGAGGATCACCATGAGTTCAAGGCCAGCCTGGGCTATATGGTGAGTTCAAAGACAGCCTGAACTACATAGTAAGGCCCTGTCTCAAAAAAGACCAAAATAAATAAATATCCCAAGACCAGCTTGGCAGCATGAGCTAGAGGAAGGCAGAACTGTACACCGCCAGGGAGGCTGCCCCTGGCTCTCAATCAGGTGGACCAGGGCCCAGGCCTCAGCTCTGCCACCTGCTACTCCTGTGATCTTGGTCAAGACCATGCACCTCTCTGGGCCTCGGTTGTCTTTTATCCTGGGTCAAGGAGGGGCCGTGAAGATGCCTGTTTCTCAGGATGCCTGGGGAGCTTGGGGAGTGGGAACGCGGGCCTCCCGGGCACAGCTGGCCACCTGAACACGGGCTCCAGTCCTACCTGCCTCACCTAGAGAGGTGGCCCTGGGCTGTGGCTCCACCCCACCACCCGGGTCACCGCATCAGTGTGTCTTCCTCCCACCAGGTCCAGAGGGCCGGGGACACTCAGTCTCAGCAGAAGTGACCCCGATCTGCAGACCCTGCAGCCCGAGAAAGGAGCCCAAGCCTGAGCCCCTCCCGAGGCCAGGAGACGATGTGCTGGGGCCCAGGCTGCCGCCTGCCACAGGCTTTTTTGCAGCGCTGCGAAGTCACAGCCACATTCACCGAGCAGGGACCACGGGCAAACCCTGCACTCCCAGTGCTCCCTGGATGGTTTCATCCCGTCTCCATGGCAACCTACAAACAGGTCCTCACAGGTGGGGAAACCGAGGCCTAGGCTGGGGAGGGGACCGCAGCAAGCTGATCTGTGTACCCAGGCTGTCCCTTCTCCGGGCCGTTTCCGTGCTACCATGATGTCCGAGATTTCCGCAGTGCCTTCAGGCGCTGAGGATACCACTCGTGCGTGGTAGCGTTATGAACTGTGTTCTTCTGAGGCTCTTGAGAGTCACAGGCAGTTGAAATAAACAGAGACCCATATGCCCTTCCCGGCTTCCCTCAGAGATGATGCCCAGGGAAATTACGGGACAGCATCTCAGCCAGGGTAGCGACAGTGACATCGCTCAGACCCAGAGCATTTCCATCCCCAAAGAGCCCTCACGCTGCTCTGTCACGGCAAACCCACTTCCCACCCCAACCCTGCCCTGACCCAGGGCAACCACTAATCTCTTCTCCGTTTCTATAATTGTGCGGTTTCAAGAACGTTCTATAAATGGAATCGCACGGTATGTAACCTTTGGGTTGGGCTTTCTCACTCAGCACAATTCCCTGAGGCTTCATTTAAATTGTCGTGTGTGTCAATATTGGACTCCTTCTCAGTGCTGAGCGGCGTCCCGTGGCATGGAGGTACCCAGTTTCTTTAATTATTCGTTGTACGTGGGGATCTGAGTTACTTCCAGCTTTTACCTTTTATGAAGCAAGCTCCTCTGAACCTTTGTGCACAGGTTTTGGGGGTGTTGTTTTTGTTGTTGTTGTTTATGGCACAGGGGATTGAACCCAGGGCCTTTATACTGAGCTATATCCCCAGCTCTTTTCTATTTTTAGGTGGAGTCTCACTCAGTCACTAAGTTGCCCAGGCTGGACTTGACCTTACAATCCTCCTGCCTCAGCCTCCCAGAGTGCTGGGATGACACATGGGCACCACCACTCCCAGCTTGTGCATTTTCTCTGTGAAAATAACTACACTTCTAGGCCCAGGAGTGCAAATACTATATCCCATGGTAGCTGCAAACTGTTCATGGTCCGGCACTCCCTACCCTTTTCCATTCCCTCTAGGAATGCACGAGGACTTCTCTCCCGTCCTCACCAGGTTCCGGTGTTCCTATCATTTTTTTATTTTCGTCCTTCTGATAGATGAGATGAAAACCCACTGTGGCTTTAGTTTGTATTTCCCAGTGGCTGAGGATGAGACAGGCTTCATTACTCATTCTCTTCTGTGTGTGCTCTCCAGTGAGACGGGTCTTCCTGTCATTTGCTCGTTTCCTATTTGAATTTTTTTTTTCAGTGGCTGAGTTTTAAGAGTTCCTGACACATTCTAGGTACTAGTTCTTTGTCACATAGGCAGTTTGTAAGTATTTTCCCCCAGTTTGTAGCTTGCCTTTTCATATTCTTAACAGGGCCTTTTACAGAGCAAACACTGTTTATTTGGAGGGGTCCAAGTCATCAATTTTTGCCTCTGATGAATCATGTTTTTAGTGCACAAGTCTAATACAATTCCTTGTATTAGATCCTGAGATCCTGAAGTCGATTTTCTAATGGTTTTTATCTAAATATTTTGTAGTCCTGCAGCAACAATTCCTTTTGAGTAACTTTTCTCTTGCATGGGATGTTCAATGCTCCAACTCTACGTATTGCATTTTGAATTGCTTTTGCATCTTTGTCGAAAGTCAGGCGGGCGTATCTGCTGGGCGTCTGTTGTCGGGTTCTCTATTCTAGCCCACTGGTCTGTGTCTATGCCTCTGCCAGTATCAGATTGTCTTCATTCCTGCAGATATATAGCAAATCTTAACATTGCATAGAATGATCCCTCCTACTTACAGATAATTGTACATTACATTTGAATTCATTGATAAGGTGACAAACTCTGTTCCTGGAAGCTTTTCATTTAAAAAGAGAATATTGAAGCTGAGATGGATGGTCAAAGGTCCACCAAAGATTCACGTTCTTTCTCCAAAGTATAGATCTGCTGTAAGTAGCTGTCCAGTTGGCACTACATTTCCCAACTGCCTTTGCAATGGGGTGGAACCATGTGACCAGCTCTGGCCAATCAAATTGTAAGGGCAGTGATGTGTCTATCATTCTGGACTGAGATGGTTGGACAAGGGCACCGCCTCCTCCCTATTACCCTTTCCAACAACAACCAGAAATGTCTGCATCTACAAATGAAATGCTAATATTTTTAAATTTTACAAATCCAAATAAAATGCAATTTATAAAATGTCCATGCATGTACGTCTTTACACCTTTTTGTACCCGTGACATACTCGTGGTTAGGGAAATAAATATTCTAAATCCTATAATCACTGTTGACGCTCATTTTTCCTTCTACAACTGGAAAACCAGAGGCCCAGTGAGTGAACAGGGTTTGCCAAGGTCGCACAGCAAATCCAGGGCTGGGCCCAAAAAATTCCACTAGTTAAATATAACTGATTTTCATGAACCTTTGATTCCTTCTCTTGAAGGACAGACAAGTGAGAGCGTGTGTCATCCCAGACTCCAAGTGGACAATTACAAAAACAAATCATAATTA